TATATATATGTTTTATATATATCATGGTAGATTATATTACAGTTCATTTCTATGAAGGATTGTCTGTTGCTCAGTTTGGTGCCTTGCTCAAGGGGAAATGCAAAGGTAGAGGGCAAAGAAAACTGTCAGTTACCAAGCGTTTAAATTACAATAATTTTTTCATCCTAAAGCACATTTCAGATTAAATTAAGTTTACCGAGATTCAGAGAGGGTTTGTTGTGTTTTCTTTTAAATATAATTAATGGATTTACAATCCCAGGTCATATCAAGCCAATAAAAGTGACAGATAAACAGCTTGGGCCTCGATAAGGATATATAGGGTGACTCAGTTTGATGTCCAAATCTCTGTACACTGGATATCTTTTAAACGCAGAGGTCAAGATAGGGCACGATGGATCTGTCCTTTGTGGTGGGGGGACTCGGGACGGAGCACCTGATAGAGAAAGGAACTGAAAAACGCTGAGATGAAAGTGCCCTTTCTTATCCAACCCTGGGAACAAAACGTGACCTCCTTCTGAGACAGCTTACTCAGGACTTCGGGATTTGTTACTCAAGACCGCAGAGACTGGGCTGACTTTACAGCACCGATAATGTGACTTTTCAATGTCCTGGACACATAAGCAAAGTTTATGTTAAAGATTTCCAAGAACCAGGAACTGTGAAATGAAACATCATGGGGTTGCATTTCCAGGCAAAATGTATGTTCTGCATTAATTCAAACAATGTCATCATTACATTACATTTTTTTTAAAACATAATCCCTCTTGAGAGCAACAGTCTGATTAGATGTGTGTCACAGTTCACCTGCTTATATAACACTACTACAAAGTGAGAACTTATAACCTTAACTCACCACTGCACTACATTACAACACACAACAGTGACAAAGGGAAAAAGGCTTTGGACTCTGGAAGACACACTGATGTTGGGTAACAAGGTGAGGAGCAAGTCAAAATGAATGAGGCCGACAGCTTAAAGAAAGACTTCTTTATTAAAATTCAAAATATAGAAAAATGTCTAATAATTGCACTATACTGTGTATGTGCATGATACAGCCTGTAGTTTTTACCCCACCTGTGGAGTCTTTTATCTTTTAACATTGAATCACAGTGGATGTGATTAGTTCTTTTTTTTGTTTTACACTGAAAAAAAACAAAAACACAAATACTTTAATGTGCAAGTTGAAAGAAAAAGCCCCTACAAACTTAAATGATTGCATAAGTATTTCATCTCTTTACTGTGACATATTAAATCAGCACTGGTGCAACCATTTGCTTTAAGTGGAAGATCCAGGTTTTATTTAATATCCTGTCAAAAACTACACCATAAAAACAAGTGATTCTCAATGAGGGAGAAAATATAAGAAGGCGGATACGAGAAACATTTAAGCACTCGATAATCCTCTGTTCTGTTATTCAGTCCCCAGCTCGTGATTACCAGCAGGCATGGAGAGGAACTGAGGTGAAATAAAGTCTAAAAGTGAGCTATTTGATTATCGGTGTAAACGAAAGACTGGACCTGCGTGAGGTCAGCCAAGCATTGTGGGGACGGATGGGAGGAACTGGGAGTCTGGTGAAGGGAGCAAGTGAAAATGTTGCTTCCAAGTTGCTGTTTGCATGTTTGTGCATGACAGGTCGTGCATGAACTGCATGTACAGTGTGAAAAGATGATAAGGGAGAAATTATCTAATTATCTCGCAGCTTGCATGCGGCAAATTTGGTGATTAAGGCCTCAGAACTGCAGAAAAGACATCCTGGAGGAAAACCTGCTGCAGTCTGCAGGAAAACTGACTGAAGAGATTTATTTTCCAACAATCACAAACATACAGCCAAAGCTACAGAGGAAAGGCTGAGAAACAATACTGTTAATATTCTGGAGTGGTTGAGTCCGAATCCAGATATGAATTCAAACCAGACTTTGTTGTAAGACTTGGAAACTGATACAAACTTGTCAACATTGACTCAAGGCTGCAACTGCTGCCAAAGGGTGGATACGTATGCAATCAAATACTTGTTTTTGTGCATAGAAATGTATTTGTTTTCTGATTTCTAGAAGAAATCCACTATTTCATGGTGTAAAACAAAAGAAATCCACTGAATTGGTGAAAACCTATGGGCAGTGTATCTGTGTGTGTCTGTCTTTGTACATGGTCATGTTCAAGAGTCCAGGAGGCCTGCGAGCCAGCTGTGGTCCAGTTTCTTCACCCTCCTCAGTTCCCTAGCCTGTTCTTTTGTCAGAGCGGGGGCTGCAGACTCCGTTGCCTGGCTTCCCAGCGACTCCTCCGGTCTCGTGCTGGATTCCATTTCCCCCTCTGAATCCTCTTCCTCTTTCTCGCTCTCCATTTCCTCCTCTGTGTGTTTATTTTCCTCCCTGAGGCCATGAGAACACATGAAGGAAAAAAAGAAAGTTAACATGACTTTGCATATTTACAGACATAAACAAGTCCAAGTGTTCCCATGAGCACAGCTTTAGCCTGAATCTCAAGCTGCTGAATCATGTGGAGCCTGAATGTGCAGCAACTCATGATATAATCACGAGGTGTCAAAAATATGTATTTCATCCATCAATAAATATTGACATATTAAAAAGGGGAACAAAAAGCCAGTATGACTCATTATTTTTAGTTTTATTGGCTCACAATTTAAGAACAAATATTTGGATAGTCATTTAGTAAAGGTGTTGAATTTCTGAAGCTATTTGATTTGATTTGATTTATTTGATCAATAAAATAAGCATTATAAGCAGATGTTAACCACATAAGTAAACAGGCAGCAAACAGAATAAAGATGAGTGTGGGTTAGCAAGTGTAACTGTGTGCACACATGTACAGACGAGAGAGAATTACAGGACTATAGTCATATATGACGAGTTCAGAGAGTTCAAGTTCATCAGACGAGACCTAAACCTGTTTTTTACATTCTTGAGTGAGATAAATATAACTGTTCTGTGGGTGAGCTTGACAAAATGTCTTCAGGCTAACATTAGTGGACTACTGACCTGGTGTCAGTAACGGAGATGAGCAGAGACTGCACAAACATTGAGCAGAGGTAAGAGGTCGAGGGCAAGACGTGGGCCGGCGTCTGCAGAAGCTGTCAGGGAAACAAACAAACACGTTAATGTCCAAGCATTTGACACTAAACTACTAATTTGCATGCGTCAATGTGACAAATTTGACAAGCAGAAACTTCTCACTCATTCCCTAAAATAGAGACTTTTAAGCAGCTTATACAGAGCTCAACGTGGACACGCAGGGCCGGACTACCAACCTCTCTGACAGCGACAGAGCCCTGTGGCAGAGGTGTCCTCTCAGCAGACACGCCGCTCAGCGAGTCCTGATTTTCCTCTTGCTCTTGCCGATGTTTCCCCAGCAACAGGTAGAACGGTGTCATGGCAACGCTGTCATCGATCACAAGCTGGAAAGGGGAAGAAATAAAAAAAATGTAAAAATCACAATGTCAGGAAAAACTGTATGTCTTCAGCAACGGTGTTTTTATTTGATAGAGAGTGGAGGGAGACCGTAAAGGAGAAAGAAACAGAGCGGGGGGGGGTTATTTGGAATAATTAAATAAAGACCAGGGAGTTGAAAACAAAAGCAACATGGATCCACAGACTCTGCTGCTACCCGTTCCTGTAACTTTAGCTAAGCACAAAGAACTGGCTCTTCACCATCACCCTGCGATCACTGCAGAAGAAAACATGAAGCAACAGCTGACAGGCATCGGTCCAGCTCACAGGTTTCATGAGTTTTGTTATGTTTAGACTGCTCGCAATGAGGAACTGTTCTATCAGGTCTGCTTGGTATGCAATGTCCTGCGGTGTTGAGTGGCAGGCCAGAAATGTTTGACATCTTTAAAGCTGAGCAGCGGCTGGTGCTCAGGTGTGCTCGCTGTACCTGTTTGCTGGACGCCATCAGTCGGTCTTCCTCCGCCTTGGTGGTGAATGTCATGAGATCCTGCAGAGGAGAGAATGCAAAAGGTTATTATGGTGCATAAGTACATTTTCCTGCAGTGTTACTTTTTACCCCCCAATTGCACAATATCACTAAAATAACATAAGAATGGTGACATTCAGATAATGTAAGGATGCTACAGAACAGAGACTGAATTCACACATTTGCTGCTTGCTGTTGTTTTTGTTTTTGTCAGAGCTGGAGGTCATGCAGGGTTTATCCATGTTTGAAGACCATTATTCCATGTAATTTAAGACCTATTTTACATCCACACTGGACAAAAAAGGTATGAAGGATATGAAAGAAAATTTGCATTGGTTCCATGTAGGTTTTGTTTTGTAGTTGTTACAGCACTATTGATACAAAATCCTCCCCAAAACACATTAAAAGAGGTAGTTTTTTGAGCTATAAACTAAATTATATGACTGTACTGTGATGAAGCACATCCATGCTGGTGTTAATATTGACATTCCTACCAAATTTATAAAAAATTGCCATTTCGTGTGCTGACAATAGGTCAACACAGCCTCTACTGTTTAAAATTACCCCGAACCTTGCAAGGCCAACACTAAGAGTCGATTGTATGGGGTTACTTATTGTCATTACGTTACTCTACTTAGTATTTTTCTATTATGACGCAGTGGTTCGGACTTGTATTTCATTACACAAAATATCATCAGCTGTGTTTTGCTGTGTGGATTTCCACTTCTTACGTTCTAATCTTTGTTGTCAATTAACCGTCTTTCTAGTTGAGCGTTTGTCTGGCGGCGGTGTGTTTACCATGTACTGAGTGAGGAAGTACAGCTGGGAGTGGTTGAGCCACTGGCTGCTCTCCTCGCAGCTCTCCAGCATCTCCTCCCTCGGGGCAAAGACGGCGCGAGTCACCTTCCCCGAGCACACCTGCTTACGGGAAAACAGCGGCCGAGGCTCGCTGGGCTTAAACACAAACACTGACAACAGAGAAAAAGGACAACCAGCAAAAAACATTAACACAGTAACACTTGAAATGACAACATAATACTTACTAAATATATATATGGTAAATATTATACCTGCCTGGCACCAACACATTAGCCTCACAGAGCCGCTATCATAGCTGTTGTGTTAAAATATTTATCTATAGAGGTTTTATATTCAACCCAGAGCTTAAACAAAGAGTCTTGTTGGTTCAAACACTGAATTTATGAGGCTGATATACAGACTGAAAGTAAACTGGACTTTTTTATCAAATCTAATCATCAGGACGAACTGTAACTTACTAATCAGGTCAAGTTTGTGTTGTATGTTATATCTGGAACAGGCGTCTTCATGGGACAAAACTCTTGCTACTGTGGAGAATTTAACTAATAAAACTATGTGTAGCATGTAGTGTAGTTGATCCAAGCAGCTTAGAACTTGCTCAAGCAGGCGACCCGGCGGGCTTTAAGAGGTTTTATACAACCAAAGACTTTCTATAAAATCCAGGCCGTAATTGGGACCGTGTTTTTAGGTTTTACGGTATTCAGGTATCGGTATCTCCTGTTCAGAAATGGTTGCCTATATGCTTTCAGATGTGACAACTTGGAAATGCCAAGACTCTGCTTACAGTCGGTGCAGTCAGCCTGGCAGCAGAAGGCAGCCATGTTCTCAGAGAGGGGGTCGGCAAGCAGCAGGCTGACGTCCATCGAGGTGCTCCACTCCACTACCAGAGAGGACAGGATACAGCAGAAGAAGCAACAGAAAGACACAATTAGAAAATCAATTGCAAAGAACGCCCTCAGCTGCAAATGTGAATCTTTGCCATATACACTGCACACACAGCCTTACATGAGCAGGTGAGGAGGTTCCAGCAGCAGAGCAGGTTGTTGGCCGAGGTTCCCAGCAGATACTTGGAACAGCTCAGTCGCCCAAAACAAAGATCCCTGGTGGAGAAAAAAAAAAAAGTCCCTTTGGTTTTCTTGTGACTATAAAGATCCCAAGTGCAGCCCCCCCGCCTAAACTAGCTCCTCACACCGCACATATTTCACAGGATTAGCCTTTGAGTTTTCCGCTTTGAGGGCTTCAAATGGGAACACACAATCAAGGGTCTGAACACCCACCAAGAACCAAACACCCGGAAAATTTGTGTCTGGCGGATGAATCAATTTCAGATTTGCTGCCTTTTACATATTAAGGCTGGGATATGACTATGAAACAGTAACTTGACAGGTTTAATTGTGTCTTATTTTAAGCCCTCCGCAAAAGAGCCAAAAAGTCATTAATTTCTCAAGTTGCATGTAAAGAGTCTGGGGGTTGGTGAGGTTGGAGGTCAGACAGTTGACCCAGCTCTACACATCCATAGGTGGTGGTTATGTAAGGGGCACCGGGCAGCTGTCAAAACAACTGACCGTTAACGTCTTACAGTTTCCCTCCCTTCTCAGTCTCAGTACGCACAAATTCCCTTTCAGCTCCCAAACTACACAGGAAATGTCTGCTCATTCGAAGAGCTTTCTGAGTATGATTGAGTTTTCCAAAATGGAGCAAGGCAGCTCATCGGGTTCCTAGTAAGAGACCTTTTGAAGTGCTGTTGACTGTGACACTCTTGACTTAACTGGTTCCTGCATTTTATTTAAATTGCAAGTCAGCTCTCCTTGTTTTTCTTGCAAACATGATGAAATGCTGACTGACTGTTCTGAGCAGAAAAGTGGTACAGAAACTAGCAACAGTAGTTTTGTGTCCTCATTGACCTGAGGGCCCCTTGTTGAGCAGAGGAGGGGTCATCTGTCAACATTTCTGAGACTCGAGCAACGTTGCGAAACTGCAGCCTGCCCCGCCCCCCCCGTGTTCATCCAGCTGACAGGCAGCACTTCTTTCTCTCAGGCCGCTCCATCCTCTAGTCTGCTTTGAAAAACAAAGCTTTGGACGTGTGCCGGCGTGGTAAAAAGGTTATTTAACTGTTCAAAGACGTCCTCGACAGCAAACAGCTGGTTGCTTAGTGAATCTGTGTGAGTGCACTGTGCTTTAACTAACTGTCCACGGTCCTATCAATGTCCCTTTTTTTCTGTGAATGTGAGCCCATCTGTGCTTACTGGAGATGGACAAAATTAACATTTTACAGTACAGCAGCTCTAAAACTATATTTCTATTCATAAAAATACTATAATCTATATATTTTATACATTTTTAGCAACTTTTTATACAATTCTGTCTGTATTTTGTACTTTTTGTAATGTTTAAGTTTTCTTACACACTTTTCAAACAAAGGAGAGCAGGAAACCCCCAGATTGAGAACCACTGCATTAGAGCACCAAATGTGTATTAATCCACAGCTCAGCATCCACAATAGTCTCCAACCAATGCACGACTTACTCCTGTTTTTTGTTAAAAACTACAGTGCCCAGAAGTCAGAAAGAGACACATTAACAAATTGTCAGTTTTGGTCTCTTCATTGGATTCATGGACAGTAACTGTACGTTCAGACCAAACGCGTACAAAGCATGCGGAAGTCATTCACTTTCTACTGCGGATGTTGATTTGGTTGGGAGCTCGAGGGCGGGAATAATGCGTGAGTAATGGTGGATAGAGAGAGGCGGTGGCGGTAGCGATCGGACGACAGGGGCATTGATATGAAAAAAAAAAAGAAAGTTGGACAAATTTGTTTGTTACTATATGCGTGCCCGGTAGACATGTATATTGCCGGGTTATTTTGTTAGCGACTGGCGGCAGTCTTTTCGCAGGTTTGAGGAGCATTGCAGCGAGCGCGAGATGAGAGCATATCGAGTTTCGTCCTTTCTTGTGTCATCCTCTTTGTTCGATCCCGTTAATTTTATATTGAGCTGTTGCTACAGCTAGTTTTTTTTTGCACGCGCTGTCTTTTTGTATTCCGATGTTACGTGCGCTCCGTGTTTTTTATAAGAGAAGCGAATGAACTGGGGCGAGCAATAGGTCTGTCTATAGCGACAATAGCTGACGTGTTTACGGTGGTGCGGACAGGGCGTCTGTTTGTCTGTATGCGTGTTTCGCTTTTTGACTGGCTTTTTTGGGTCTGAACGTACAGTAAGACAAAACAAAGAATACCACCAGCTTTATGCTGTAAATAAATGATGTTTACTGCCAGCTCTTATCCTGTCCAACCCCACTGTTTTTTTAACTGTTACCTGTGTTCCAGTACAGATCCTAAAATAATACTTTGCTGCATAGATATGCTTTTTCCATTTAAAACAGATTAAATAAAAGTCCCCCATTCTGTTAAAAAGGTCAAAGTTAAAAAGGTTAAAGAGCTGGATGAGAATATGTCTAACGAAAACACAACACAAAGAATCTGACCAAGCATTTAGTTATCATTTTCAATACTTGAAAAGGTGCTCTAACCATAATCAGTATTGAGTTTTGGCCCTAGTGCATGCGTGGGTATTTGAGTGCATGTTTAAGCCACTGACCTGATGGCTCCTGGCGGCTGGGACAGAGTTGTCAGGAGCTCCCAGGAGGCCGGGCTCCACACCGTCACCACCTCCTGAAAGCTGACGGCCAGCAGAGAACCATCGGCTGAGAAACAGCAGCACTCGGGCACCAGGCCGTGATAGGCGCCGACGAAATCACACGACCAGGAAGGACCTTCATCTGTTGCCATGTTGGAGTGAAAGCAGAGAGGGAGACGGACACCGAGAGTGTTGGATTACTGAGAAATACTGCCTCATTTGGCTCAACCTTAACATTGAACTTGATGTGTTGCGAAGCTAAAATGGTCGAGTCTGGCACCAACACAGTGACTTGATTCTCATTAATGAAAGGGAGATGATTATACACGCTTTTATCACGTCACAATTTGACTACAGTAATTCTTCTTCTTTTTACCTTACAGAGTTTACAACCCATCCAAAATGCTGCTGCTAGCACAACACAATCCAGATGGTCACATATTACACTGATTTTAACCTCTCTGCACTGGCTCCCTGTTCATTTTAAAACGTCAGTGCTCACTTATAGAGCCCTACATGGCCAGGCTCCACAGCACACCATAAGCTGAGCTCTCTTTTTATAACTTTATCTGTATTGTTTCTTTTTATGAGATAATTAAACAAGGAGAGGAGAAATAAAACAATCTTCCTTCGTTTTTCGTCTATATGTCAGATTCTCCATCACTAGGATCTGTCAGCCTTTGTTTGTAATTAGGTGTTTGAGCCAGTTCTTTGTGAAGGCCTTCTTACCGACAGCTAGGAGAATCTTGACCTAGTATACCTCGGACACGTTTTTAGACTCCGGGAGATTGTGCTTTCCAGTTGGCAGCCTCTAAGCCTCCTTGGAATAGTCTCCCAATAAGCTTGAGGCCTTTGGACTCTGAACTCATTTTAAAAAAAAAGGAGCTAAAAATTCTGTTCACGGAGTAGCATGTGGAATTTTATGATTTAATTTGTGTCGTGTCTGCTGCCCTTGTATATTTTATCTGGCGTTTTATTTATTTGATTTCATTTCTTCGAATGTGGAGCACTTTGTACTGGTGTCTGCGGCACTGATGGTAGGCAGGTTTTCAACTTCGAGGAGGTAAGAAGTGGTTTGTCTGGTTGGTTAAGTTACATATGCGAATAATGGAGCTGCAACAATTAGCCAACAGAAAAATAATCACCAACAATTTTGATGACGTGAGATTTCTAACTTTTATCTCTTTTACCATGGACTTTAAACTAGTTTATGACATTTTATAGAGCAAATCATTATTAAACTGATCTAGAAAACAGTCAGATAAATCGATAATGAAAATAATCATTAGTTGCAGCCCTAATACTGTATAAACAGCCGTCTTACAGGTCAATTATTTGTTTAAAATAAGATGTTCACTGACCTATACTTGACCGTATGAGTTTTTTCACTGAGATAAGATAAGAAAAATGATTGATTTATATAGAAAATGTTGTTTTTTCAACTATACAGTTATAGCCTGAATTTCTGTGTCAGGTTACCTACTGAAATCTGATCAATGAGGACAAAGAACACAGCGCTCTTTTGACTCGTAAAGAACACATAGCTCTTGAATAATAAATAGAAAATACACAAGGAGCAGAGTAAACATTACCACACTTTAAAACAGACTCTGCCTTTTGGTTGAATGGACTGTCAGACACTGAGTTAGACTGCTTACCCTCTGTGTGGGCCTGTGCAGCCAGCTGCCAGGCTTTGAAGTGCCCGTCCTTGCTGCTGGAGACCAGCATGGTGGTCTGGCTGTCGGTGGCGTGGCAAAAGCACATGGCTGTAATCTGGGCCTCGTGTGGGGCCGAGATGGTCGTGTTCAGCACAAAACTGCAGGTGATACAATCAGCATGTTACAGGGGTGATTATTACTAAACTATTCTTATACTAAGAAAAACAATACTGAACAGGACAATGCAGCGGTGGAGTACAATCTTAAACCAGTCTACCGCTGAATGTGTCGCTCATTCCCTGAAACATTGTGTACAGTTTAGACGTCAGTACCTTTGTGTTTGTTCATCGTATGCCCACAGTTTCAGGTTCAGCTCCAGCTCAGCGGCTTTCTGTTTTCTTTCTTCCACTGTTGCCAGCCAGTTGCCAGATGCATTGAAGGCCGCCTTGACCACCTCAAACTGCTGCAGGCCCGACTCATGAATATACTCCTGCTGCACTATGTCCAGCTGTGGGAAAGATGAGAGAATTTAGCTGTTAAGACTGATTCACACCAAGGTGTTGACAGTATTATTGAGTGAGTTTGTGGATCAGAATAAATGTTTTTTTTTGTTTATAATAGAAATAAAGCTGTCTCCAAGTACTCATAACCATGCTTATGTTATTTCAGGTGCTAAAACACCACATAATGTCAATAAAAGACTCCAAAAATGATCCCAGAGATGCTTACGTTGTACAGCAGTTTGTCTCTTTGGAGGGAGTAAAACTGCAGGTGACCCGGTTTCCCATTCAGCACCAGGGATTTGCTGCGTGGGTCCATCATCAGGTCTGTCCTGACACTTTCTCCTGCACAAAGATAAAAATAAAGAGTGAGAATCCACTGGTAACCTGACAGATTCAATCCTTGTTTTTACTCTTTTTGATGTGTCCTATAAAGAAAAGTTTGGTGTGAGGGACAGAGAGGAAGAATAGGTCAGAAATTCATGAAAGAGCACAATTCTTATTTCTGCCTACTGATGCAGAATAAAACAAACCACAAATTATACACTGTTTCCCTCTATGTAAATCTGCAGGAACATATATAATATGTATAAGATACAATACAATTTCTGGTCAAATATGACATGAAGAGACAATTTTCATTTTCTTTAATGGTCTTATATTTCCTTAAATGTTTGTCTTGTTTTATCTGGTTGATTTTTTTATTTATTTAAATTTGATGATTTTATTAATTGTGTTTTATTTTATTTTTTGTGAAGCACTTTGTAACATGGGTTTAAAAGTGAAAGTGCTTTTATAAATAAATATTATGATTGTTATTATAACAACAACAACAATAATAAGACCGGGAAAGAATTTCCAGATTAAAAAAGGCATCACCAGGGGTTTGATATGTTTCCTTAATTTCTCTTTTTAATGTCTTTGAACACAACACTGTGGTTGCCTGGAGTCAAATTTAGTTAATTACATTTACATCTTTGCACAATTACAGTGTGAACAATTTGGGTGATTAAAAACCAGTAGATTAAAACCTTCGTCTATAATGGACAATGAACTTTCTTAGAAGCAAGATTGTTTTCCAAGAACTGTAAACGGTTATTTATGATATATATATGTTTATTATCTATGAGTTCATACAGCATGTTTATGATCAATCTACATGCTGTGCCACCTACAGTCTGTACTCACCTTTGACCAGGCCCTGAATAACAGCCGACACTTTAACACAGCTCTGGATGATTGTGATCTCTGAAACAAGAAGAGACGTTAAGAAGTTAAGTTACCACAGCTTGCATTTCATAATGAACTCTGAGTCTTATCAGTTAAGGACATAGATGTGAGCTCTCAGATGTAAAGCTTATGGCATTACTGCTGAAGCTAGAAATACATTAAGCTGTAGTACCACCAGTGGCCAATAGATGCTGGCTTTTAAAAATGTTTATACATTGTGTCCACTGTGTTTATTTTAAATCATCTGTGTGTATCATACAGCTCCTTACTGTTGTCACTGTGTGAGGTACAGAACAGCGCTCCATCAGGTGAGACGGCGATGTGTGTGATGGCAGCGCCCAGGCGGGGCAGGAAGTCTTTCTGGCTCTCTTGGTTGTATCGCCACTGGACGAGCACCGACTCCAGGCCTCCGCTCAGCAGGTTGGTGCCTGGGGAAACAAAGCAGATATAGATAGAAATCACGAGCTAATCTGGTCACTCTGGAGTTTTTGTTCTGTTTGTTAAATTATCTATATCTACCTTCTGGGGTGAAGCACAGAGAGCTGACGGCACTGTGGTGCCAGTGCAGGGTGGAGTACGTGTACTCCTTCTTGTGGTTGAAGTTTCTCCTGAAAGGACAAACAGTGACGTAAGAAAAATAAAGTCTCTCCACTTCACCTGATGAGCTACATTCACACATGAATAAACACACACTGCTTTACAAAAATAAAACTAGAAGAGCGCACTCAGCAGATCTCCGCCAGGTGTGTCCCGGCGTGAGTACCACATCTACTCGGGGTTCTGCGTTTACAGACGACGTAATACAGACGCTCCGGTTCAAGGTGAGAACAAACTTTGCTGTGGGAGTCCGTTTTTGAGCCACAACAGAAGGCCAAAATGTGGCCTGCAACAGACTAAATAAGGTCTGTTTTCAGCCCAGCCGAAATGCCTTCTGCTATGTCAGCAAATGTTAGGCTAATATAAATATTAGGCTGATGGGTCCAGCAGTGTGCAGGATTAGCATCCGGTCAGATACACAGACACACACTCAAAACAAACACGCAAAGCTTGGAGAGGATAAAAATGGGAATAATTCAGGAAAAAATAGTGACAGGTAAATTTTGACAAAATGATGTAAAGCTTTTTTCCCAGCATGCTAGGGGAGGAGAGTTCACTCGTGCATCAGGAAAACACAAGTGAGCAGCAGATCTTTAGACTAAACAATCAAAATTACCAAAACACAGAGTGCGAGTGCTTCAAGGCCAGGTTGTTGCTTCACTCACCACAAGCGAATCTTTCCATCCTCGTGTCCAGTGGCGATGCAGTCATCTTTTGGGTGACAGGCAACACACGTGAACGTGTTCTTGCCTCCCTTCTTGTTGTCTTCTTTGAGGGGAAATCTATTAAACAACGCACACAGGGTCAGACGGACATACGTTGTTACTGAACATCACTGAGGCTTTGTAGGAAAATGAGGGTTTTGTTAGCAACAGGTTTTATGATTAAGATTCACTCTTGAGCATTCTGTGTTTAATTATAGAGAAATAAAGTATTTGTAATCTAAAGATGTTAGAAGTTTGTGGTTTTATTTGAAACTTGTTTATTTAATTTTACATCTGCACACCTCATACCTGAAGCATCACACTCACCTGTATGTCTTCTGTTTCTTGAAGAAGTAGACCTCCAGCTGCAGCCCTTTAGCTGAAGCAATATATTCGCCCTGTGAGGAAGATAACACTTGTTTGTTAACACATACTCTACATTCAATTTCCAGGGCAACAGAAATTATTTTCAGGATTTTTAGTAATTTTAATCAGATTACAGGTGTTGCCATGACAGGAAAACTGTCAAAATTGTAGTATTTAAATAGTATTTTATGTTTTTAAATACATATATGTCAGAGATTCCTCTGTGTACCACTAGAGGCAGCACACGTACCACTAGTAGTACACGTACCATAGCTTGAGAACCAGTGTCCTACATTATTTTGGCCCAGCAGAGAAGTCTGTCAAGGTCAACAAGCTTTCTGATCAATATCCCTCCGATACGTCAACAAACTGTGGGTTACTAAGTGGGTTATATGTATTTCCAGGAGGTGTGTTGGT